GAAGTGGCTGGGCAAGTTCCCACGGTAACTGCATCATGTCTTGCATTTTGTTTGACCATGAACAGAACACACACAATGTAGGAAATGGGTGTGCTGGGGGTGTGCCTTCTGGGAACCCAAATAAGGGGGAGTGTACCACAGGGTTTGTAAAATGAGGAACTATAGGCATTATCTTATCAGTTTGAGGTTTATGAGGGGAAATGCATTGTCCTTGGAAATTCAAGAGTATGAAGATCCTTGAGAATTGCCTAAGTCAAGAGGTTTTGCATTAAGGTTTTATCTTCCTTCAAGAATCAGCTACTGGCCTCTTTTTTAGTGACAACAGCTTTTTATGTACAGAGACATTGGAGCTTTGGGGAGAGGCATAGCCAGCCAGGATTACCTCTAATACAGCCATTCTCTTGTTTCTTTGATTTTTAATCTAAGGGTTCTTTTTTTATTGTGTCCTCTTTTTAACTTACCAAGACAGAAGAATTTTGAACATGCTTATATAGCTGAACAAAACTGAAAGTGAGCATTAGGAAACCTTGCAAGATGGGTCTCTGTTGTTATCTTCCTCTCATCCCAAGACAGGCATAAAAGCTAATTTCAAATAGCCCTTTCGTTTCAACTTATCTGGCCTTTATAAACCCAAACATTATTATTTTCACAATGTGCAGCCGATTCCCAGATTTCTATCCCAGATAATATGGCCAATGGTTAAAAAAAAAAAAATGGGACTTGGAGTCCATCTACACTGGTAGGAGAGTATTTTGGAGAGCATTGCCAAACAATGCAGTCTGTGTTGGGCTAAAGGGAACATGAACTCCACTAGTTGTTTAAGGGTACCTATTCTTAAAAAATAGGATTATTTTGGTTCAGTTTACTGCAACTCCTCTTTTTTTTAAGCTCAAGCCAGTTATAATCAACCAGCAGTGTTTTGTACTTCTAACAGACCCATCACCTGAAACACACCATGGTTGTATTGAAATATACCAGTCCAATGATGTATAATATTTTTGAACTATGGCCTTTAAATAACATGTTGGAGTCAATCAACTTTCAAAAAGCAAGGCATGAAGCCAGGTCAAAAATTAAATAAACTATATTTTGATTTCATTTATAACCTTTAAACATTAAGTTTGACCAATATGTGCACTATCAAGGTATTGAGACTTAATAGATGACCAACCGTTGTAAGGCTGATGCAATGAGGATGAATCAGCATGGTTATTGCTGCTTTAAGACTGAGGATGGGTCCCACAGGGTTTTACCACTTTAAGAAGCTCATATATATATATGAGGCCATGAGAGGGCATACCTCTCTCTCCTTGTGTTCTGTCTCCATTTTGGTTCTCCGTGCAGAGTAAAGAAGATTGATTGATTGCCAGGTATTTGCCTACCATGTATATGTCTATAGCAGTCTTGTATATAAACCACTGTTAAAAGACAAAGCCTCTGTGTGTGCTGTGTTTTGCACCTGGATTTTCTCACAATAGGTTGTCTCACAAACACTCTGACATGCACTGTATAATTTCTTCCCTTCTGAGATCATAACAATTGCAGTATGGTGGCAATTTCTGGAAACTTCTTAGTGCTACACCAAGATTTTCAGGAGCCACCTGAGCCTTAAAAGGCATGCCCCTCTGAGGAAGCTACAGAATATGTTGCTTTGTTCAGTTGGGGGCACTTTAGTCCGTGAACCACAATTTCTGGATAAGCAGAATATAAACTATCCACTGTAGCTTTTTCAACAAACTGATTAAAATCAACCATGGCTTCACAGTGAATGAATCAAGCTACTATCGCAGGCAGGTCCACCTAATAAATCAGTATAACTGTCAGCCACGGATGAACACCGTCTGCCTGATTAGGGAGATGCATTTGATTTGGAGTTTTCTCAAGAGGTCTGTCTAAACAGAAGTGTTGTTTGTGATAGATTTGTGTAACCGTTATTTGGGAAGAAAAATTGGACAGATTTCCTTTATCTCATTTGTGTGTTTATATTTGGCAGCAATAAGCACTTGTGCTAGATAGGGTAGAGTAGGGTTCTTGGCCATTTCAGAGGATGACGAAGATGGTGATGATGGCAATCCTAATGGATACTAACAAACCCCAGTGCAAGGAGATAGTGTTGGGTTTTGGTCTTACAGAAATGGGAAAGGTATGTTAGATGATCATATGCTGAATGATCTTTCAGGGGTGGTTCTCTGAATACTCAGAATGTAATGAGACCCATTTCTACTATACCAGGGGTCTCCAACCTTGGCAACTTTAAGACTTGTGGGTTTCAACTCCCAGAGTTCCTCAGCCAGCTTTTTAGTTGGGAGGAATCTGGCTTCCCCATTGACTTTGCCTGTCAGAAGGTTGAAAGACATGGGTGGGCTGCTTACCAGTTCTCCCCAGTTTGGGCAAACTGGTAGTTCCGGCGATCAGTTGGCCCCGCCCACCCACACCTGCCCTAGTCTGTCCTATATTTCCGTGTTTTGCAGAGCGGATTGCCGCGCGAATCAGCCGTTGTACTTACCGGGGCTGCAATCGGAAGTGAGTTTTAGAGCTGAAAACAGGCGGTTTTCAAACGTTGCGCGCACGGAAATCACACATTCACGAAACCAGTTGTTACACCGGTTGAATCCCACCACTGTTGCAAGAGGTGGTCACATGACCTCGGGATATTTCAACCATCATAAATATGAACCAGTTACCAAGCATTTGAATTTTGATCACGTGACGTGAGGATGCTGCAATGGTCATAAGTGGGGGGGAAATGGTCATAAGTCACTTTTTTCAGTGCTATTGTAACTTCAAACGGTGACTAACCAAAGAGTTGTAAGTTGAGGACTATCTTTATTGGGTGCATTCCCAATCTTTCTACAAAACAGGTTTTGATCAATTAGCCCCAAGTCTCATTCTCCCAGTAAGCACCGCTTGAGCTGGGCTTTCATTTGGCACCAGAGGAGCAGCATTAAAGACCTATGAATGAGAGAACAGGCTCTGAGGTCCATTCTTAAACAAGACAGGGATCCTTTCTATGAGGACTGTTGTTAGCACTAAGCATGAGTAACTATTCTGACACTGCCTGTGTTTTTAGTAGTTGTACAACAATACAAACTGAACAGAGGCATTTTACAAAGTGGATTAGAACAATGTTTCTCAACCGTAATAACTTTAACACCCAGAAATCCGCAGCTGGCATGCCAGAAACACTGGTTTATAGGATAGAGGGAGACTTTTGGAAGGCAAAAACAAAATGTGCTTTTTAATGTGTAGGGTTACCTATAGAATTTCCAATACATGGTTTGCATCATGAGATACAGTGATAGAATTAATAGATTATGAAGATGGCTCTTTCTCTAACATGCAAAAAAACCCTATGCAAGCTTTTTTAAATTAAAGAGTATTGAGCTTAATGAGCTTCCCTTCCCAGCCTCCGGTTTATTACCCATGAGAGTTAAGCCTATTTTTCAGATAGTTCTGAGGATAAAATTGGATCTATCCTTATATATGTTTTACTGAGTTTCTTGATTTATGAATTGCCCATAATATTTAGGGACTCTCTCTATTACAGAAGCTGAGCACTGAATAAATAGATTCTCCTAATAATGGAGTCTGATCATACGTTTGTCTTTGTGCTTTTTGCATTTGAAACAAGATCTCAAAGGACTACTACATTTATATGAATAATAATTAGTGCATGTTATTGCCGCAGCTCCATTCTATATTACTATGATTGATTCCAGAAAGAGGAATTGCCAGACAAGTACATTTCTTCTGATACAATCCAGAAAAGTGACATTCCTAAACTGCAGGAGCTTCCTGTCTTTTAAAAGAACTCTCATACACCAATTTGTAATAATTTTCATGAAAGCTCATATAGCATTCTAGGATAAGAAGGAACTATAAAAACCATTAATTTTTAATTAATGCACTTAACCGTTATCATGCCAATTTTATTGTATCCTGTTTACAACTTCTTTGCTTTCTTGAAATAATGAATGATGACCAAACTGCCTGATTCAAAAATCTGTGTTTCTATTGCTAAAATGGGAAAATTGAATCATGTTAGTCTCTAGAATCTTGGCACCTAGTCGTCTAGGGTTAACCCATAAAACTGTAGCTCTGTATCTTTCCCAGTTTGGCACCCTAGGGATCTGTACAGTACAGTGTATGACTATCAATTTGGTGGTGATGCAAATTATAATCCAGGATCTCTGGAGAATATGACATTGTCAAATGCTAAAGTGGACTGAATGCTGGAATTCCATAATCACCTACTGTAAACAAATATAACTGGGATAACATGGATGTATTCTGGAGGGGCTGGGAATGTCTGAAGAGCAGCAGCTAGGAGTAAACCAGAGGTGAAGATTTTGTGGTACCATATTTAGAAATATGTGTGAAGATACCCCCCTCCCACAACACACATATATTCAAGATATATAATATACAAATCATGTCAAGTTATTTTGGCTCCTAGTGTAACAATTTTTCACTCTCCGTGGACATGAAAATACAATGATAATATCTTCAATAATTTAATGATCAGCTGCTCTTTTGTGACATTTGAAACCTGCTGTTAACCCAGCAGTCTCTCTTTGTCCATTGTTACAATGTGCTCTTGCAGCAGAGAATGGAGGAAAAGGCGAACTGCAATCCCCTTTTGGCAAATAAAATGGAGGCCAGTCTGCTGTTTCCTTCATACGGAAGAAAATATTTCCGTTAAAAAAAGGGGGGAAGCCATTTTGGGGAAGTTGCAAAACCAGTACTGTATGAATAAATACCTCAAGTCTAAAGATATCTGAGGATGACTTCACAGTGGACACATGAAGAAGAATTTAGAACAGGGTGTCCAACCTTGGCAACTTTAAGACTTGTGGACTTCAACTCCCAGAATTCCTCAGCCAGCAAAGCTGGCTGAGGAATTCTGGGAATTGAAGTCCACAAGTCTTAAAGTTGCCAAGGTTGGACACCCCTGATTTAGAACGTTTTGACATCCGCTTTCTTTCTTCTTCCCGCTTCAGGTGAATGGCCGGGAACTGTCCCGTCTCTCACAGGAGCAGACGCTTGAGGCCCTCCGGTGCTCTAAGGAACCTCTGGTCATCCAGGTGTTGCGGCGCAGTCCTCGTAGCCGAGGTGGAGGTGGTGAGGGATCCACCTCTCAAGGAGAAATCACAACCCTGGTCGATAGTGGAACCCAGACCGACATCACCTTTGAACACTTAATGGATCTAGGCAGGATGCGGCCACCAAGCCCTCCGGCTGTGAGGATGGAACCCTATGGGTTGCCTGATCTGTAAGCATTACCCTGAGGAAGACACAATGTCGTCTCGTCTTCTTTATTTACCATTGATTGTACTTATATCTTGTACACTTCTGGTACAAGCCAGTCCAGGGTAGCCAATAATATCAATCTAGGAGATTAAAAACCTAACATGCATTAAATGCAGGTAGTTTACAACAATTCATTTGGTGACCATTCAAAGTTACAACAGCAATGAAAAAAGTGACTTACAACCCTTTTTCACAGTTACAACCTTTGCAGTTTTCCCATAATCATATGATCAAAATCCAGATGCTTGGGGACTGACTCGTATTTATGTCCTGGAGTCATGTGATCACTTTTGGGGACCTTCTGACAAGCAAAGTCAATGGGGAAGCCAGATTCACCTAACAGCCAGGTTACTAACATCAGCTGCAGTGATTCACTAAGGGAAGAAAGATCGTAAAATGGGGCAAAACTCACTTAACAAAAGTTTTACATAAATTTTGGACTCAATTGTGGTCGTAAGTTGAGGACTACCTATATATGAAAATATCAGACTAGTTATTGCATCTTTTCAGAAGTACAAAAAGTAAGCAATAGAATTTTTCCTTTCATATTGTCCTGTGAAAACCCTGGCTCTGTCTTACCTTTTCCTGTCTCCTTAAGTTTGTCACATGAAGTTCTGGTATCTGTTTGATGAAATTACACTTGATTGGAAAGAGCCTGGGAAAGTTCTAAGTAGGAAAGCGGAAAACTTACCTTCCTATCCTTTGTTCCTTCTTCTTCAAAGCCCCTCAATTGCTCATGAATATTATGACCCTGTGGAATTCATGGAAGGAGCTGCTCCAGAGGCTGAGAGAGCAGAAGACCTAGAATACGAGGTGAGAATGTGTTGAAACTGGAACGCCGTTTCAACTTTCTGGCTAGGGCAGGATTTTGGATTGCCATGATGTGTTTTCACATCAGAATAAATTCAGGTGTTTAAAATCAAAGCTAACGGCTAAAAACAACCAGCTTGGTTGATGCTTTGCTCAATAGGTCCCCAAATCCAGAAGAGACATTAGTGCAAAAAGTTTACAGTCATGTTTTTTTTCTAAAAAGGGTGAAGGTTGCACCTGGAAAATATTTAAAGATTGTTTACCAATGCCAAATATAGGGTAGTGCCTTCTTGTCATTGTGAGTGAACTTTGAAGGAAGGATGAAGGGCTTGCTTCACTTTGAACGAGGGGAGTAGCTTTCTCCTTCTGGTTGTGAACTCAACAGATGAGTGCCTTTAGAATTAGAGCCAAAAGGGTCAATAAAGGAGGAAACATGCTCAGGGGAAAGCCATGGTCTGAACAGGCAGCTTGCTATTTGTCTAGAATAATCTGATTAGAACTGAGATGCTCAGAGTTCACTTAGTATCCTAGAATCATGAGAAAGGAAATGGTGAGCTGTGGCAGAAGGCAGCAGGACACCAAGGGGTGGGCTGGAATTTTAAACACGGCTCCTCTTTTTGGAGGGAGACGTACTGAAACATTTTGTGGCAGATCCTCCTTACAGGTACTCCTCACATAACAATTGATTGCTTAGCAACCATTCAGATTTATGATAGACTTCCCCAGAGCTGCTTAAAACCCGTCTTTGAAGTTCCAATGGCTACATGCCCACACCACATACACATACACACACACATGCACATCAGAGGTGGCATTCAGCAGGTTCCGACCAGTTCTGGAGAACCTGTAGTGGAAATTTTGAGTAGTTCGGAGAACCGACCAATACCACCTCTGACTGGAGATTTTACAGTCTCCTTCCCCTGCCACGCCCACCAAGCCACGCCCAGAGAACCAGTAGTAAAAATATTTGAATCCCACAGGTGCAAACACATGTACACACACTATGGCCATGTGAACACATGTTGTGCCCTTGGCTCACATTTATGGCCATTTGCGATGTTCCAGAGTCACATGACTGCGATTTTTGGCAGGTTTTGGTGTTAATTTCCAATTTCCGGCAAAAAAACACCCGTTGGTGAAAATGGGTTCACTTAATAATCACTGGGTTCTTTTAGCAGCCTCCATGTTTGATTAACAAGAAATATGACAGAACATTTAATGTCTTAATCTAATTTCCGCATGTAACGCTGGTGCTTAGTAGTTTCCCTGTTGATGGCCCACTGAATGCCGCTGAAAAACAGTACATCTGAAGTGACACAAAGGTGGTGGGTTTGCTATTCACACATTCGTTCATAAATACTCAGCTGAGATCACAGCCATCGAGTGCTGAGTATGCTTGTGTGAAATGAGCCCTATTTAGCCATATCTAAGTCACTTGGAGTGGCTGGGAAATCCACATTTTTTTTATTATTATTTTGAGTTCAAAGAGCTATAAGAGTAGGTCCAGAAACATAGAGGTACCCTTGCATTTTGGATTTTTTTTTTTTTAGAAAAAGCAAAATACAGGTAGTTTTGTAACCATTCATTTAGCGACTGTTCAAAGATAACAATGGCACTGAAAAAAGTGACTCATGACCTGCCCTTGCACTTATGACCCTTGAAGTTTCCCCATGGTCACTTGACCAAAATTTGGATGTTTGGCAACCAACATTTATTTAAGATGATTGCAATGTCCCAGGGGCCATGTGATCACCATGTTTGACCTTCACCAGCCAGCTTCCAATGAACAAAATCAATGGAGGAAGCTGGATTCACTTAATGACCACGATTCACTTAACAACTATAATGATTTGCTAACGACCATGGCAAAATAGTCAGGCTTGACTCACTCAATAACCACTCTTCTTAGGAATAAAAATTCTGGTCCCAATTGTGGTCATAAGTCAAAGGCTACCAAGCAGAAGCAAGAAATCTTTTAGTTGCTTGAATGTGCCTACTTTGCACTGTTTATTGCAGAGATAACAGATAAGCACATCACCAAATTTTGGCAGAAAAACTAAAGAATTCTCTGGAGTTACAGGGCTGCAGGCAGCTCACAAGTTATGAGTTGCCCATCTACTTCTATCTTATGAGTGGGTGAATTTTTTAAAAAAGAATAATAATGCCTGCAGAAGACCTAACTTTGGTTTTTTGAGTATATATGGCGGAAAGACAGCCAAACAGAGCCAATTCAATGAGATCTGGAACTTCTAGTCAACTGACTGTATGAAGTATTAAGAATCAGACTAAGTTCTTACTGAAGGAATCTTTTGTTCCAGGGCATCTTAGGAGAGGCAGATGGATTGCTAACACTGGGTGATCTTTGTCTGGCGTTTCTCTCTGTCTTACAGGAGGTGGAGCTGTACAAATCCAGTCACCGGGATAAGTTGGGCCTGATGGTTTGTTATCGAACTGATGATGAGGACGATGTAGGCATCTACGTTGGAGAGGTGGGGTCAGGGGCAGTGTTTAAAGGGGTGCAGTAGTTTAGGCTAAATGGGGGAAAGAGACGTGTGGGGATTCCATGTATATAAGAACTGATAAGAGTTCCTGATTTTCTGTTCTTGCTTCAACAGCAAGAAATATTAATTTTGTGTAGGAGTGTGTTCTGTGTATGAAGGTGGTTACTACTGGAGATAGCAGAAGCCTAGACTCAAAGTTGAAGTTATGATGAAATCTAGACTATTTTCATTGAGGAAGGAGGAATGTGTTAATTTTATAGAGGCTTCCTTCTTAATGAAATAGGAATTTTACATCTGTTTAAGACTACTAAACCGTAAAGAGCTGCAAAACTCCAGGTGACCACTAGATGGCAGAAAGGAGACACAGTCCATTGTTGTTGTCATCTAGTGGTCATTTTGAATAGTGCAACCCAGATTAATTCAATTTTGGTGATTTTCTTTGGGATTATGGCTTGCTCTCTCTATTCTCGGGACCCTTGCAGTTGTTATTTGCAATCTTTTTTTAAAAAATCACAATGTTATGGTTTTCAATGTCATCACTAGTTTTACCACAAATCAACATTCCAGGAACATTTTTTGATTAAAATCCAACAGCTATTCAATTTGTAGCATTCCATACCAGCCGTCTCTGTAAATAGACATAAATCAATAAAAAAATCAATACTCTTTGAAGTACCACAGTAGATCTCCAGTGCATTGTGGAATTTTTCCAACAATTGAACTTGATATAAATATATATTTAAGATAGAGATTGGATTTGCAAGACATTTGTCTTCAAGTCACTTATTTATTGACACTGTCCTACCAAATCCATACCGAGCATATTTTGCTCCTTCCTCCTCACAGCTTGAAGGGATAGTTTAGGGCCAGAGGTGCCGACCATCCCAAGGTAAGTTTCCTGGCCAAATAAGCATTGAGCCCAGGTACCGTTGGCCCAATCTGCAATGGTAGTAAATAGCTTCTGATCTGAGGTCAACTTTTTATATATATGTCATTTTTATTGAATATGTTTATATGAATAAAAGATAAACATGAAACATAAAAGAAAGCTAAGAAAAAGATAAAATGGGAAGCCACTACAGATAAAGAAAAAAAGAAATTGATAACTACAGAAGCGACGTCTGATCTTCATTACAGAAATTACAAACAACCATATTACCACTCCTCCCTCTCGAAGGTTACATTACATGGTTCCTCTATCCCGTATTCAACCCATTTTAGTCAGCAAATCCAAAAATCACTATTTCTTTTTTGTTTAATTTTCAGCAAAAAGTCCATTAATGTTTCTGTCTTTTATAACATGATTTATTGTTTTATCCCTGATCAAACAGGTCAATTTTGCCATTTCTGCAAATTCTCCCATATTCACAATTCATTCTTCTATTGTGGGTATTTTAATACTACTTCAATGTTGTGCATATAATAGTCTTTCTGCAGTTACCATATGCAAAACAAAATCTTCTATGAGTCTTTTGTAATTGGTTATCCATAACTCCCAATTAAAAAAATTAGTTTCATCTGAATATTGATCTTTAATATTCTTTGTATCATCATATGTATTTGAATCCAGTATCCTTTTTCTTTTTCACATTCACTATGCATGGTAAGTTAAAATGTCCATGTTTTTCACATTTCCAAAATTGACTAGAAGTACTTTTATATATTTTAGATAATTTCTACGAAGTCATATATCAGTACTACATCATTTTATAGAAATTCTCTTAAGCTATAACACACTCTGAATTTCAATTCTTTTAACCATATTCTGTCCCCCATTCATCCATCGGTGAACTATAACCAAAACTCTTAGGCCATATCATCATGAATCTTTAACTTTTTCTTCTGTGTCAAACCTCAACAAAGTTTATACATTTTAACAATCACATGTTCATTATTTGTAGTTTGAGTTCAAATATTGTCTTATGTTGTTCAGTTCCAGTTACCTTTCTATATTCTTTTTCCCAATTGTGCATAAGAAAATAATTGAAAATTAAATCACTCTGCAGTCATTTAACAAAACCAACTTATTCTCCTTCTTAACAAATTTAAACAATCTTTTTTTCCATGGAGGTATGTATTATTTATTTAATTAGTTCAAAAGTACTTTAACAAACAATATTCCAAATTCAGCTATTCCCTTAATTCATTTTAAACTTTCTTAGCACATTTGGCAAACATTTTGCTATTAATTATTTTAAATTCCATATAATTATTTCTTTACTTTTTATTTTAATCTTTTGGGTTGGAGATACACTTACCAGGTAGTTTATGTATTCTGCTGCTTTCAAGATCTCTATAGCATTTATATTTCCCTCCACCCTTATATTCTCTAGAAAGTAGAGTTGGTAGAATGTCCTTTAGCAGGCTCCATTTGAGATTCTGGCTTTATCTGGAAAACAGGTGGGCATTCTCACAGCTTTTTTTGTCCACAAAAACTCCCTAGGTCTGGGCCCACTATCTAGTTGGCAATCTCTGCCTCAGATAGTCCCAATAATACGAAGGTGTGTTAATCTGCCATTTCTCCATCTCTCTGGAACCTGGATTTTCTCCTATTGTTTCAAACCTCATGTTGTGAGAAGTAAGCAATGGGGTACCACAAGGTTCCATCTTGGGCTCAGTACTCTTCAATATCTTCATAAATGACTTAGATGACGGACTAGAAGGAGAACTTACCAAATTTGTGGATGATACAAAGCTGGTAGGAATAGCCAACACCCTAGATGATAGGCTAAAGATCCAGATGGATCTTGACAGACTTGAACATTGGGCCTTATCTAACAAAATAAAATTCATGTAGAGAAAAGTAAAGTCCTACGCTTAGGCAAGAAAAACCAAAAGTACACATATAGACTGGGTGAAACCAGGCTTAATAGCAGTGACAATGAGAGGGATCTTAGAGTCCTAGTGCAGCATTCACCAACCAGTGAGTTGCAGCCCACTGGTGGGCCGTGAGAAAATTTTGGTGGGCCACAGAGAAATCTCACCCCCAGAGCAACCCCCCAAAGCAATTAAACCCAGGCTGTGTAGAAACACAAGGCTGTGCAGCTCACGTGGCCCGTGGGAACCCTCCCCGCCTACTCACTCCTTACCCGGCACACTTGCCTGCTAAATTGCTATTTTTCCTTTTTCCGACCATCATCTGTTCTGCTGTGCTGGGAGATTTAGATGAGCTAGGAAGTAGGAAATGGTTGGATTTCTTACTTTCTAGCTAGTCTTTAGATATTCAGCTCTGCTTTTAAGCACAGCCGAACCTCCCTTAGGACTGAAGGTTCTATTATTCAGTGCAGACTCACGGCAAGCAAATTTGACAGACTGAGCTAGCTGATGGCAGATAGATAGATCACTGAATGATTCTGTGAGCAACTCAATCTGCCTGCCTGCTTTGGGGTAAAAGTTGCTTTTTTATATATAAAAAATTCAATATTTACATACATGGTGTGTTGTGAGTTAATTTTGTGAGTTTGCTTGCTAGCAAATTTTGTGTGATAGACTGACCTAGCCAATGGCAGATAGATAGATAGATCTCTGAATGAATCTGTGATTCTGTGAGTAACTCAATTTGCCTGCCTGCTTTTCCTGATTTTGGGTAAAAGTTGCTTTTTTTATAAAAAAATCAATATTTATATAAATATTTATAATATTTACATACAAGCCATGCCCAGCCAGTCACATGACCAAGCCACACCCACAAATTAGGCCACGCCCACAGAACCGGTTAGTGGTCCCTGGGATTTAAAATTATGAGTTTGGTGGTCCCTGAGGTCCAAAAGGTTGGCGACCCGTCTTAGTGGACAACCAATTAAATATGAGCCAACAGTGTGCAGCTGCAGCCACAAAAGCCAATGCAATCCTGTTGCATTAACAGAGGGATACAATCAAGATCAAGTGAGGTATTAATATCACTCTATAAAGCCTTAAAGTAAGACCACAACCTAGAATACTGCATCCAATCTTGGTCATCACACTATAAAAAAGATGTTGAGTGAAAGAATGCAGAGAAGAGCAACCAAAATGATTAGGGGAGCGGGGGCTAAAACATAAATGAACGATTGCAGGAACTGGGCTTGGCTAGTCTAGTGATGAGAAGGACCAGGGGAGACATGATAGCAGTCTTCCAATATTTGAGGGGCTGCCACAGATAGGAGGAGATCAAACATTGCCTAATGGAGAATGCCAATACATCTGGAAGAATGCATATGTCCTCTTTCTGTATTTATGATTCCTTATCCTTTTGACTTGTTCTGGAAAGGAACACTTACAGATAAAAGACTGATGTTTATTAACTTTTGTAAAACAGGGCACTTGACCATGTTGGGATGCTAGGGTTCCTTGGTTCTCTACTCAGTACTTAAAATGGGGATTAGCTATAGGCGTCTAGATGGGTATCTAGGGGTTGCTAGACATGGTCTATGATGAAAAATTATATTTACATTACATTTCAGTAACACATGAATGGTTACTAGCTATCCAGCCCAGATTCAAGGTTAGTCAGTTCTCATGGTTACCAACCCACAGTTGGTAAAAAGCCCTAACAGTTCTCCTAATCTGATTTCTCTTCTACTAGGTCAGTCCCAATAGCATTGCAGCCAAGGATGGACGAATTCGGGAAGGTGATCGCATTGTCCAGGTGAACATTAAGGGAAATAATTTGGAGGGGAGGATGCTGTAGATTTTAAAAAGGACAGCTTAATATAGCCCTCTCCAACTCATAGTAGACTATAACTCCCATTGTACCCAATCAGCACAACATTGGCTTGCTGGCTTGAACTGTTGCAGATCATAATCCAAGATAACGGGAGAAGATTCAGTTTGGGAAGGCTGGCTATATTGTATTGATTTATTCATTTAATTTGGTATGCCATCAGCCATCAACTTGTTTTTCTATACATTTTCTTCACTTTTAGATTAATGGCATGGAGGTACAAAACCGAGAGGAGGCTGTAGCAATCCTTACGCAGGAGGAGCGAACAAACATTTCTCTGCTGCTGGCTAGGCCTGAGACTGAGGTGGGAAGCGCTTAGATGCAGTTCACGGGTAAAAGAAAAGGGGAAGCAGGGGAACTGGGTTGTAACTCAGATGGAGAACACGTGTAGTGTATGCACGGAGGAGCCAGAGCTTAGAACACACATAGTCCCCCCCCCTTAACATCCATTCATTCCGCTACTATTTGAAGTAACAATGCTCCGAATGAAGGGTACTTACAACAGTTCCTCATAGTTTTGGCCGTCCCCACGGTAACACAATCATGATAGCTGCTTTGGCTGTGTGATACAGAGGGGCATATATGAGATAAAGAGCTCTTCGGAGTATGGCAAGGGGGAAAAAGAGTTCCTTCCCATTTGTTCACTTCTGTGAAACACTAGGGAAAGGCCTTCTCACTTCCTGTTGACTTGGACTGAAAACAGAGTGGAAGAGATCCCCAGATCTGTCCTTATTTTACAGTAATAAGTGGAGGAGGGGCAGGTGGGATCTGCACAAGAGAAGAAGGGAAATCCTAGTTACCCCAATCCTAAACTTGCTTCTGCAATTCACTTTTTCCCCTGTCCCCAGTCATTTTAGTGAATTTTCCCACACCTTTGTCCAATTGCTGGAAACCAATTTAGCACATGAGATAATGAACAATTCATTTTACAAATTGTACTTATTTTAAAAATATTTTTGTAATACATTATACAGTATTACTATCATGCATTCTTATGAAGGGGCTTCTTCCATCAAGGAAGCAAGGTTTGCATTATCCTTAATATTGCATGTACACGATTGTAATTTTTTCAGTTGTATTAAGAATTATATTAGTCAAATCTAAGAACCTAATACAAAAATACATTTATGAAAAGAAACAGAAAAAATATTAAAAATAGAAAAAAAGTCCCCAAAAGGAAGTAGTAAGAAACATAACTTCTTCCTTCATTTCCAGCAAATATATTCAACATTAACTTACCACTCTTATAATAAAGCCAAATGCAACTTCATTTTATACCTCACCCTGTTTTCTATAAATTTATCTGTAAATCTTCAGTTATTATTATTAAATCTTCAGTTATTATGGTCCAATAAAAATAAAACAGAAATACCAAAAGCATTATATAGTCCCCCTTTCCATTTAATTTAATCCCCTTCATCCTTCTCTTTAATAATCAAAATCTAATCTCAACTAACAAAAAAACTGCAAAAAATTAAACATTATTGAACATTACAGAAATGGTAACTCCCTTATTTACCTATCAAAATAATAATGTAGATATTGCAACTCATCCATTACACCCAGGTAAGCATCCCTCCCCCAAAACCCAATCCAATCAAAGTTAATCATTATCACCACAGATGGCAACTCATTTATCCATATTCAAATAAACCAATTGTTCATATTTTTTTCCGTCCTGCCCCTCCTTAAGTCCCATAAATAAAATTATGTTTTCTTCTATTATCTTTATCTGTTATTTTAAAATTCTTGTCATCTTTATCCAAGTCCATTTATAATTTCCAGCAGGTCTCGTATCTTTTAATTTAAACAAATTGCTCTTTTGATATATTATTTGTATATCTTTTAAATTTTTTTACATGATCGTCCAATTTCATTTGTAAATCTAATATTTCAATCTCTTTTTTGTTTTTATAAGCTATGATTTTAAGACCATCTTAAGATCCAATTTGGTTATTTTCAAAGGAACTTGTTTGTCTTTCTATAACTTTTGGTTCTGGTATAGAGTTAAAAAGCTCAAGTACGTCTTGAGTCCACAGAACAAACATTTCCTTTAAAGTAGCCATCTTCTGCTCTCTATTAATCAACCTTCAATTCCGTATTCATCAACAAGACAATTTTTTCCGATGCCAGAGGATTTTTCCAATTAACTTCAAAGTCTTTATTTAAATCAATTTCTTCCAAAGTCTTAGCATTTAAAATCCTGCCAAAACCAACTTGCTAATCATCCCTTTCCTGTGTATTGCAAAAAACAACAAAAAATAAAGATCGTATAAAACTGGAAACACATTTTTTTTAAAGGATTGAAGGGAAATTACCCAGTGATTGGCAAACTTGCAGTACCAAAGGTTTTTCAATCTCTGGTTGAATAATAATTAATTAAATAAACAATAAAGGAGGAAAAAAGCTCCAAAGTGATTTTAAAAATTAGATTTAGTTGAGTCTTGAGTCCACGAAAGGCTGCATTTATAGCTCAGAGCATGATGAAAACTGTGACTCCCAGCTGAGACCATTGGTTTCTGCCATCCACTCTCTGAAAACAGTTGTTCGGAGTACATAGATAGATAGATAGAATTCTTTATTGGCCAAGTGTGATTGGACACACAAAGAATTTGTCTTGGTGCAAATGCTTTCAGTGTACATAAAAGATACATTTGTCAAGAGTCAAGGATCATCAGGTACAACACTTAATGGTCACAGGGTACAATAAACAATCAAATCATACTAGGAAACATATGGGTAATCTCCAAATCCATTTTGATGAGAAACCCTTGATGAGCACAATTCTAAAACTACGGTAGCAACCTGCCCATTTACCTGTCATGCCACCCAGCGCACATTTTATTGATTTGGTCATCAGAATCCCATTGGACAGTTCATCAAATGTTTTGCTGAAAGTAAGACATATTACTTATCCCTGTTTCAACAGCCTGCTAAACAAGTTACCGGTAGCTAATCACAAAGCGGAAAAAAAAGCTAATTTGGCGAGATAACTTGTTACATGCAAATTCTTCAAAATTTATTTATGAAAATGATGACAAACCATGGGGAAATTATTGAATAGTTTTGGAGCTGGAAGATTAATTGCAAATAATCAATTGCATTTAAATTAATTTAGATTTATCCTTTGACAGAGACCAGCTTCATTTATTTTTTTACATGTTTGAAGAACAATCCATAGCACACCGCTCAAAGCCCAAGTATGATATTGTCTACACAAATTTTGGTTCATGGGGCCTAAATGCAAATAAGAAAAGGATTTGAATTTAGATTTCAATTGTCAATTGTCCTGATGCTATTTTTGGAAAGTGCATTTGGCAAGGGAACCTCTGTTTTTATTCTTAGTGTGAATTGTAGTACTTGCCTGATTTGAAGAGGGAAGAAAAACCTTTAACAAGGGAATTTCACAAGTACTTGAAATGAAATGAGATTAGAAATTAAATGCATCATACAATCTGGGTAAAATATGTTTCTGTATTGGTTGTTCTTAGTAGCTACTAGAGTACAGGCTAGTAGCAAATAATCAAGCTGATGAAGATTGGGCACCTTGAAAGAACCTGGGATGGAAAATAGAAACTGGAATTCCTGGCCTTTTTCATTCTGACTGTGTTCACCATTCCAGCTGTCCAAACGTTGGAAGGACAGTGACCGTGAGGATTTCTTAGATGACTTTGGTTCTGACCATGAAGCTGGAATAAAACCACAACGGCTGCTTTCTCCCGCAGGCCAGCAGGTATGTGGCTTAGAAGTGGAAGTTAACTAGTCCACAGTAAGGTTCTGCTCCCTTGCCTGCATGACTTTTCCATAGGAATTTGATCATCCCTTTTTTTTCAATGTATGAAAAGGGCCAGCAGCGTTATCAATTCTGCTCACTTCCACTTGTTTGCTCTTTGACTGGTACACCAAAAAAGGAGGTTGAGATCTTCTGGCAGACTATTGGATGATTTGTAGCAAGCCTACAAAAAAATCTGGTTGTTTGAAAATACATTCAATTGCCATGACAATCATAACTGCCCCCTGTACACCCACTTGTATACAATAATATTTAGTTAGGGTACGTGAAGGAAAGTAACTCAGATGTATATGGAATGTTGTGTGTATAAGGTCACCTCAGTGTATAGATCGTAGGATGCAGTGGGGAATTGATTATCTCCCAAAGCACAATTTCTCATCTGACTTAACTAAATGCAAAATAGATTGTGGAAGCCTAAACTGGGCCCTGAGCTGCATTAATTTCAGCCCGGGACTTGCCTAATGGACTGTTTTTGTCATTCATCTCTTTTTGTTGTGAGATGAAAGGGGCCAGAGAAGCCTTTGTAGTTAAAAAAGAGGAGATGAATAGGAAGAAAGCCCTGGCAGTGCTTTTGTGGTTGTCCCTATCTTGGTAAAGGGAGTGAAATCTTTCATCCATTTTCTTGTTACACAAAGACCCCCTCAGTCTTTGCCAAATTCAAATCTAAGAGTTTCACTGCGAGGGTCAAAGGCTGGCATAAAAGTGTCAGATAGGAAATTCTGGGCCAAAATCTAGAGATGATCTCCCTGAATGGTGCTCTATCCCTCTTTATCTTAGGAGGAACCACTGCAAGAAAAACCTTCTGGGGATGCAGCCACACCTCTGACTAACAGCCAGGAACTGGACAGTGGAGTTGGCCGGACAGATGAAAGTACCCGCAACGAGGAGAGCTCTGAACATGACCTGCTAGGAGATGAAGCGCCTAGCGCTGCCAACACGCCAGGCAGCCTGCGCAAATTTGGACCTAGCCTCCAGCCTCGGGACTTCCATTATAGCATGGACTCCCTCCTGGCAGGGGAGCTTCCTAGTGCTGTGGGCACAGACCTGATGCCAGGACTTACCGATGAAGAGTATGAACGTTACCGTGAGCTGCTGGAGCTCAAGTGTCATCTAGAGAATGGCAATGAACCAGGGTTAGTGAGCGCTGCCCTGGATGTCAACCGCAATGAGGTGGCTCTGCTAGAAGAGGAGCTTCGCCACCTGGAGTTTAAGTGCCGCAACATCTTGCGAGCACAAAAGATGCAACAGCTCCGCGAACGTTGCATGAAGGCCTGGCTGCTTGAGGAGGAAGGGCTGTATACTTTGGAAGGGGAACCTAAGAAGCACGAACTGTCAGACATCACTGAACTGCCAGAACGCTCAGATAAGGACAGCACAAGTGCTTACAACACTGGAGAAAGTTGTCGAAGCACCCCCTTACTGGAAAGCCCCTTGCGTCGCTTGGCTGAGAGCCCCAATCTCAACCGCACAGCTCCTCCTTCCCCTCCACACCCTAAGTTCCGCCGGGAAGAACGGGTGCGGCGCAGCCCCAAGGCAACTGGGGAAAGCAGCCCTTATTTGAGTCGACGTCAGCGGGAAGAGCTACCTGCTCCTATCAGCCCCATGAGCTTAGCCAGCATTTGCAAGGACTCGCTTGGGAGCAAAGCAGAACCCCGCATGGAGTGGAAAGTGAAGGTCCGTAGTGATGGCACTCGCTACGTGGCCAAGAGACCGGTGAGGGACCGGCTCCTTAAAGCCAGGGCCATGAAGATCCGCGAGGAACGCAGCGGCATGACGACAGATGATGATGCGGTCAGTGAGATGAAGATGGGACGTTACTGGAGCAAAGAGGAACGGAAGCAGCACTTGATTCGAGCTCGTGAGCAACGGAAACGCCGCGAGTTTATGATGCAGAGTCGGCTGGAGTGCTTGAGAGAAAGGGAAGGAAGTGAAGCTCGAGGGGTTTCTGGCGAAGTCAACATCTTGGCACTGAGCCATCGTAAAACCATGAAGAAACGGAGCCGACGTATCTTGGACAACTGGATTACCATCCAAGAAATGTTGGCTCATGGCACTCGCTCAGCAGATGGCCGCAGAGTTTACAACCCACTGCTTTCAGTCACTACTGTTTGAGTGTATAGGAAAGACAACTGGAGGGAAGCTGCACCATTGTCTCCTGGCCAGACTGGAGAAAGTAGAATAAACACAGCTGTTTCCTCCTTGATTAATAGAACGACTGCTATTTGAACATACTTGGGACCTTTTACTATTTGTACTCCGTGGGCTCAAAGAGCCTTCCTCTCTAAACCAAATTTAGAGTGTGACAAACCCAGCATCCCTTCCTGCCTTAAGGACCAGGGGGCAAAATAGGCCACCAAGCCTCTACCATAAGGAGCCTGCTAGGGAGTAAAGTCTGTTTTCCTGATGTGTGCACCATCTGTATTGAAGGCAATTGTACAAGTCTGTTGTCCCCTTTTACTTATGGGAAAGCTTTTGCTAAACTTGGTCCATGCCAATCCCATCCTGAAGCACAAAGAACCAACTCTCATCTATAGACACTGTGCAGAGCACAAGAAAAAGAGGCTCATCCCCATCAACAGGACCAATGAACCCTTCCTGTCTTCCCAAATTGGGATGTTGTGACATTTTTCTTCTTTCTCTCTTTCCTCTTTTGTGATTGTGATTTTACATTTTTTAAATTTCTCCCAGGATGGAGGTCCGAGCCCTGGAGGCTCAATCCACAAGTGTCCAAGTGCTCCCTTCCTGCATTTTCTACCATGTCACTGCCCTTCCCTCCCAGCTCAGGAAGAGGCAGTAGCTTAGCATAGGGAGGTTTAGCAAAGGAAAGCTTGTAGCAAACCTTGTACCTGAGGCTGAAATTGCGTTGTTACAATAAAATAAAAATAAAAAAAATGTTTTTATCCATTGAAACCAAGTTACACAAATTATCAGCATAAACACTTTTGAATCTGGGGCTGGCTGCCTAAAATTAGTAAAACCGTTCATGCTGTAGGACATCTCTAGAATATAGTCAGCATGTATGTGGAAAGACAGCATTGCCAATAGGCGTTTGTGGGAAGACAGATGGTACCATAACAGCAACAGGAGTGGAAAGTGGTGAAAATGTTAGTTCACAGTACACAGCAGCTAACTTGTATGACAAGCTTAGTTAAAACTCAAGCACCTTAACACAAGCACATTAATCCATTTTCCAAGTTTACATCATATGCTGAAGTGTCATAAAGTAATCCCAACAATTGGGAGTCTATATTATTAGGGTACAATGTGAATCCAGAAAATCGGTTTACAGATTGCACTCCTTCAGGTTGACCAACCTGAACTTTCCCAGTTACAAGCTCTCTTACCCATCAAAAACAGGGAAAATATGGAAAATCTTTTCCATAGGTGTCCTGACCTCACCTACTTAATATCATTACCAGCAATGTCCACCCAAAACACATTGATTCACAAGCCAGCACGGGATTGTTTGCCTCACATTACATAATTGCTCAAGCCATTTTAATAAAACTTTGTGATTATGAATCTCATGCTTTATTAAATAAAAATGGATTGAACAATTAATGTGAGGCAAGCAACCTTTTTTTAAAATTACAAGCATTTTTGTAAAATTACACTGGTGTGATCCAGAGTTCATGGACTAGAAGTGGTTACGGTCAGAGTTCAAATTAAGCCAATATCAAATAAACCAAATATCTTAGGATATGTACTGTGTGAATTGGGTCACTTCTGAGACATACTAGTAGAATTTCTGAAACCCTAGTCATCAAACATGTTCATATTTTCTGAATATCCTCCATTATCATAAAAAACATGCATGAAGTCTTAGTCTGGATCAATCACATCTCAAAAAGGACTCAAGTAATGAATTGGGATATATCCCCGACACTTGTTATACCCTTGAAAAAGTACCACCCAGCTGTATGCTGGATGAACCAAAGGCTTTGCTTGGCTATTGAATCTAATTTAGGATAATTTTAGATAATGGCAAAATTTACAATTTTAAAATACAGGACAGTGACCAAAAGAGAACAGTAGTGAAGATACTCCAGTATTTCCACATCAGCATCTTTATATTAGTATTAGCTTTTATATTGCATCATACAATATTGCATATTGTATTTTGTTCTTCTATAAACTCTGGAATCATTTTGCATGTAGCCCCATCACCATTGCCTGTTCCATTTAAAGAAAGTCCTTGCTTGGTGACTGCCTTGGCAGCAACTGTCCGCAGTTACAATCGTGATGAAAAAGTAACTTTGTAACCAATGACCATATTTACAATCTTTGCAGTTCTGAAAAACAAAGGAAAGCTGAAAACACAATCACATGACTATTCATTTAGTGAGCACTTAACCACCTAGTACTTGATCCTGGCTGTGGTTGCTAAACAAGGAATACCTATATTAGAGGAGACAAGTAGACAGAGAAATAAATATGGTCTGTAAAACTAACCTGAATTTGACTTCAACCCTGGTTCAGATGCAGACTGCAGCAACTAAAAATCTGACTGGATTGCAGAAATAGCAAATGTTACAAATATAAGGATAACCATGCATTCTATGTAACTGATTTCCCCCTTATAATCTGGGATGAATAAAACTTGAGAGAAATGAGATAATCCCACCCTGGCTGCAGTGGCTTATAATTACAGTGCAGTATAATTACTGACTGCACCCAGAGATGCATTGCTTAATGGGAGTAAGGCAAAGGAAAATGGACTTTAGGAGCAGTTAACTCAGGAGCAGGTCAGCCCATCAGCCATCACAGCCAATCCGTAATATTAAGCCAGCCACAATTCAGAACGTTAGCTTGGCAAAGTATGCACCTTGAGGGTATGTGTGTGTCCTCTGCTTCTTTCCAGGACTCCAGTTCCATGGAAAGCATGTTTTATTGCTTTATTTTCAGCTCTTTGTTTAGGCAGTTTGAGTCCCAAAAAACCTACTTTGAAAGGTGGCAAGATCATCACAAAATGTAATCAGACCGTAAGAAGCTCTAAAACTGTTATAATTCTGACCTACTTCAAACCAAAACATGAGATAGAAATTAATGATGCTGACAAGCCACACAGGAGTATTTTTGAAGACATTCTGGGGAAAATCTTTACTTTCTAAAGAAAAGGCAGAAAGCAGTGAAGTTGGTATAGAGTTTATTGAAGTGCTTTATGCTTGGATGTTGCTCTTAGCAGTGAATGCCATATAATATACCAGAATACCAATTAATGCTGCCAATACCTCAGTGGAGACCCATGGTCCACTCCAGGCACCCTGCAAATGGAAGGTGGAAAGAATAAAAACATATTGAATCATGAACAGCATGATTAAAAGGAAAGAATAAGAAATGGAACTGAATTTTCTCGGTATTGTATCATGATTTTCAATTTGTCTTAGCTACAAGGGACTAAACTGTAGCAGCAGAAGGGTGAGTTGTAACAGGACACGTCATTTAAGCATAAGGAACTATGCCTAGATATGGCCTGTCTGTAGTGTGAGAAACCCCAATCAAGTAATAATACTAGTCCTAACTATGGGGAATATTTAAGCAGATCAACCTTGCAATTGTACCATTTTTCTATTTTCTTCATTTTCTCCATTACTTAGCAAAACAAAGGAACCTATCGATACTGAGCAGGGCTAAACTTTGAAATAGTAAAGATGTTTAAAAGAGTAGTAAAGATAAAGCCCCAAATGCAGCCTAGGGAAAATCACGTGAACTTTCTGGGCAAGTCTGGCATATATGCTTGCAGTATCCACATCTATCTGGGAGAAACTTTTCAACTTCACTAGTTTGTTATGAAATGTCTGATGCATGAGTGGCCCATTATGGCAGCCATTTTATATACAGATACCATCATCTCTGGCAGCCATTTTGTGCTTGCTAATATAGAAAGCATTTTTATATTGTTTCTGTGTCTTTTCTATGACACAGCAAAATCTCAATTCTGAATGCAATCTGTTTAGAAATATTTGAGGCTGGACCTCTGGCAACATGCACCAAACGATACACACATCCTTTCCCTACACCATTAACTATAGTTATCCCTACAATCCCACTAAAATATGTTAAGTTTTCATTATGAACTGGCCTTTTATATCTGTTATATCACATTCCCTCCACTTTAATAGCGTATATAGGTTTTATCTCATCAATCTCTGGACCAAATCCTAAGTGCTTCTCCTTGAGAATTAGGAGCATTATAACTCTTTGCAGCACGTATTCAAGCATACAGGTCATAAGCTACAGCAGTTCTAAAGCAAGTCATCTGGTGACTACCTTATGACCTTTTCTGCAGCAGTCATTAAGCCAACCCACTGTTCGCAATGGGGCATTTTTGCCCCAAACCAGAAGTAAACACCAGCTTTTGGCAAAACATGGTCAATCATGATCATGTGACTATATGACACTAGAAATGAGTGTAAATGCAGGCTTGTTGCTGAGCACCCAAAAAGTAGTTATGTGGCCATGGGCATGGGGTGGGCAACTGTTGAAACTTTGTAATTGGATCATAAATAAGCTAAGCAACTGGTCGTAAGTAGAGATAATTGGTTCAACTAACTAAAGATACCATCACAGAATACACAAACTGCAATCATATGCTATAAACAGCCTGGTTTATCCAAATGTGGTAGTATTAACCATCTGACTTGGTTGTATTGCCCACCTATTACAGCAGCCCCATACCCTCAACTGCTGCACTCACCCGATGATCCACACTGACTGTAAAAAGAGGTTTGATCTCTGAGACATCTTCATTGTTGCGCTGAGCCTAAGATAGAGAGAAGAGAATTAACAGCTGAGTTAAGGCTTTAATTAATTAACCAAAGGCCCATGACATAATTTCCTGATAGCAACATCATCTACTTACACTAGAGACACTTACATGAATAGTATTAGCAGAGGAAACCATGGTAGGTTGACAAAACATCTAGCAGCGAACAGAATACAAGGACTGTGTTTTCAGTTCAATGTCAAAGTAGGTAAAGTAGTACTTGAATTTTAATCTCCATGGGCCAAGAAAGAAGCCTCATGACAAGAAAAGTCATAAAATGGGGCAAAATTCACTTAAATGTCTTGCTTAATCACATCAAGTTGTGGTCATACGTCAAAGACTACCT